TTTAAGTTATTCCTATGGTTCAACTTTATCAGCTTGGTTTTCACTTATGCATAAGAACTGCACGTTATCTGTAAGCATTTATATAATTAAATAAAATCATCCCCAAACTACTTTTTGGAAAAGCCTATTTGTTCACTTGGAGAAGTGTCTATCTCCACTCTTTGTTTATTCTTTCTCTGTCAGGCAAAAAAAAAAAAGTCATGAATAGGGAAAGAACTGAGATTTGAAACCAGGTCAGGCTGTTTGAAAGTTTAGTATATGTGCTGCCGAAGCGAGCACTGTTTGAAAGTTTAAAATGTCCCATTTCCTGTAGTGGCAAACATATTTCTCCTTTAACCGTAATAGTTTATTCACCTTTTGTTCAAAATATGTTATATTTGCTGTAATCCATGCTTTGACTACTGATCTCCCAATTGTCCACAGGGACGTGGATGAGGTTTGAGGCTCCAGGATCCGCCCTCAAACCCTTCCCCAACAGGAGCCCCCCAAGGATGCCGACCAATGCCCCAGGGAGCTGTCACTTACACACTAAGTTTCTTAACGCACTTGAGGGATGGTCTTCTAGTCCTGGTGATTTATCTGCATCTAGTCTGCTGATTAGATCTGAAATATCCAGAGCACTTGCTTTTCCTCCAGTGTGTTTATTGCTTGAGAAATCTGGCTGTAGAACTATTACTCAGTAAAATCAGAAGCACAGAATTCATTTACACTGTATATTCCTTTTTTTATTTCCAAGTATATGTTTGGTGTGATGTAAGCCAAGTGCTTCTACAATTCTCATTTCACAGTATTTAAGAGTCTTTCATTATTGTCTTGGAAATCCATTGCAAGGATATTTTCAAATTTGTTTTTGGCTATCTCATTTTTAGTGTGCCTGGGATCGGTCACCCTTTGTGGGCTCAATTTAATAACCTGGCCCTTCAAATATTCCTTTGTCATTCCATGTATCTAAGTAAGCATTCTTTCTCTTTCTTTAACTTTCTTCTATGTGTTTTCAAAAAGTTTGAATAGAAAACCTTTATTTTTCTTATGAGTTCCCATAAGGAAATTCATATACTCCCCACTTGTTTATGGGTAATTTGATTTGAGTATTTCTTTCCATTTTTCCCCTTCAATAAATGTCTGCATTTGAATTCTCTTTTAGAGAACCATTTATGAACTTCGTGTCTTTCCTTGGAATCCCCTCTCCGTTAGAATATGCAATGGAATGGAGCAGGATGGGACAGAATGAAATAGAACTGGAATTGGAATTGGAATGGAATGAAAATACTATCATTCAGTATATACTCCAATCTGCATTGCATCTGCAAGGCACTCAGTGAACATTTCCTGAACGAATGTATGATAGCAAGAGTCAGCACCCATGCAGCATTTACTAGTATCATGTTCCATGCTAAGCACTTCATATGCATCATGTCACTAACTCTTAGGCACTAGACTGTAAACATCATTGGCAAAGAGTTGTCTATGTACCCCTAGCACCTACAGCAATGCTGGCATATAGTAGGTGATCACTACATATTTCTGCATGGATAAATTGAAAATCTGCATGAGTTAGGCACCATCATTACTCATGATTTATACATAAGGAAAATGAAGCACAGAGAGGTTTAATCAATCACTTTCTGAAGTGAAGTATATGTGAAGCCAGGACTGGAACCCAAAGTCCACATACTTAACCAGGATTTGTTACTAGTAAACTCAATACCTACCTATATAAATGCAAAAAAACTTAACTCTGTTCATCTTAATAAATAGAATGCAGTGTTAAGTATTGTGAGCAATGATTTTCAAAGAAAAAAATGTACAGATGATGTTTAAATAAATACAGTACCCCTCCTCCCATCCACAGTTTTACTTTTCTCAATTTCAGTTACCCATGGTCGACCACAGTTTGAAAACGTTAAATGGAAAATTCCATAAGTAAATAATCATAAGTTTTAAACTGCACACCATTCCCAGTGGCATGATGAAATCCCTCTCAGTCCTACTCTGTCCCACCCAGAGCATGAATCATCCCTTTATCCAGCATATCCACACTGTATACACTCCCTGCCTATTATAAGTCACATAGCACTTCTCTCAATTAGCAAATCAATCAGCTACCTCAATATTACAGTGCTTGTATTCAAGTGACCCTTATTTTAAGGAATAATGATCCCAAAGCCACTGACATAACTTTTACTATAGTCAATTATTATAATTGTTCTGTTTCATTATTATTATTGTTCATCTTTTCCTATGCCTAATTTATGAATTAAACTTTATCATAGATACAACTACATGGGGAAAAACATAGTATATATAGGGTTCTATACTATCCATGGTTTTAGGTACCCACTGGGGGTCTTGGAACATATCCATTGCAGGTAAGGGGGGGACTACTGTAATCAAATAGGCAGATATCTGTAAGCTCCTTGCTGGCTATGCAAGTAAAAACATGATTTCTCTTGAATCAACTTCTTCTGCTGCATTTGTACACTAGATACTGAGGACTGCGGGACTTTTGATAAGTGGGTGTTTCTTTTTTTTCCCCCCCAAAGCAGTTCTGGGTTTATTTAAGTAATCTATTTTGTCAATTCTTTTAAAAATAAGAATAGCACTAGTAAAATAATCTTTTATTGGGACTGTGTTATATAATTGCCAAGAGTTTATGAGTGATCTGCTTATAAAATAGGAGACTTAGATGTCTCTCAAACATCTCTGCTACTTCTGGTCACCTGATTACCTGAAACATTACCATTAGTACATCACTTTTAGGGTTTTGATTTCTTGTATATTTAACAACTCATGAATAAAAATGATATCTTTTTTATATATCCCTTTGAAAAGTATAGTTATTTAAATCCATTATTAGCTTTCTCCTTAATTCTTTATTAGCCCACACCCTAGTGGGAGCTAAGTGATATCTGGCAGAGAGCAAAGCCTTTTGGGAATGGCGCACAGGGGTACTGAAGCCATGAGTTGAATACTAAAAAGAGGTGCAGAAATTAGAAGTAGAAAGACAGCAAATGTGTAGCCCAGCACACAGAAAGAGAGGGAGGGAGCAAAGAACAAGAAAGGGAAGAAACTGATGGGGGGGGGCACTGGATTGAAACTCTGCTATTCATTCACCTTGGAAAAGTCACTTAATCTGAGTCTCAGTTGCTCCACCTGTAAAACGAGCATGATAACAACATGACTTCCTCACAGACACTTTAATAGCAGATCTTAATGTGCCACGTCAATTGTACAGCATAATACAATATACAGTAGTGGTGTTTGACTTGGCATTGCTTTCTTGTAATCAGCCCATTTATGCATTTTGTGATATAAACATCTTACGAAGACCGTCAACAGCTTCAAAATATAGACCCATGAAATCATAGCTACTTTTTTTTTCTGGAACCATTTCTGATATTTTTTTAACCCAATGAGCCAATTCGCAAATTTAACAGCCTTTGTGTGTCTACAAGCTCAGGAAACTTATGGACTGGAGTTCTGTAAAACCTCTGTCTAAACAAGGAAGCTTCTTTTAAGTCCTGTTTTCAGTCTGAGGCCTTTGGTCAAGGTGGAAACTAAAATTGAAAACAGATAGATGTTTTACATTTAAATGGGTTTACATAAATGTGCATTAAGCCATTTCATGGCTGAGTGCACAAATATCTTCTGCAAACTTGGTACACGTGAGCACATAGACAGTAGCCATTAATGTCTTCTAGAGAAATAAGGTGCAGATCCAAAATCTTAAGCAGCCACACTGAGCCCTCTCGCTCAAAAGAAAATGTAATGGCTTTAAGGGAATTGCTCTAATAATATCACGGCATCTGCAACGGCTGGCCCGAGCATAGCCAAACCAAGTGCATGTCACTGTAAGTCAATTTAACAAGAAATAAGCTTCCCCCTGGAGAATCTAAACTCCCTAGCCTCCCACAAAGAAAAATGAATTTTGGAGGTCACATCTTGAGTAGGTTTCCAGAGGGAGAATCTTAACTTTTTTTTTTTTGGTCATATGCTCAGGGAGGTCAATGCTATTCTACCAATGAATGGCTACCAAAATTCTGCTCCCCCCTCAACCACCACCCTCTCCAATCACTAAATTATAACAAGTCCTTCTAGTCCCAGAGAAAATGAAAAATGATCGTGATACTTAAGATGCCAGGGACCAGACCGGATATAATCATGTTCAAACATCAAGTTTTGAATCGTGCAGTGAGGAGCAGGGTCGATGGGGGGGGGGGGGGGGGGGGGGGAGGGTAGTGGAAGGGAGAAGAGCTGGTGAGACTGGGGTGAGGGTCAGAGTGAGTCAGAAACACAGAGAAAGAGCTTTGGGCTGAAACTGACTGTTTCACCAAATGTAAATCAACCGAACTGCTGTTACGGAAAAGAAAAGCAAGTCGCCAAGTCAAGTCCAGGCGAAGCCCTGGCTGGGTGGGTGAAGGATCCCTCGCCGAGTCGCCCGGGTGGGTGGTCAGAGGGTCTGGTGAGTCCTCGAAATGACTGGAGGTGCCCCAGCTCCCTGCACCTCAGGCAGAGGCTCTGGGTGGGCGCACCCAGGCCGCCCCCAGATCCCCGTCCGCCAGGCAGCAACATGTGGGGCGCTGCCACTCCACCGCCCGGGAACTCCCTCCGGCTGGAGTTCCTGGTGGACGCACGCCTGGCCCTGGAAAGGTGCTTACTCTTGGGAAAGATTCCTCCAGCATTGAACTTGGCAGGTCCTGACATTTCCAACCCACCCCCGTGCGCCAGCACTACACACTGGCACACACACACGCCCCCCTGTACCTGCCCAGGCTGCGCGTAGTGCTGGCTGCCCACTCGGGGCAAAACACTGGAGCGGATGCAGAGACCAGGTCCCCAACTCCGCTGGCCCCGGGGCCGGGGGCAGGGGCTGTCTTAGCACTAGGGAGCTCCAGGCACTAATTTCACTTCCCGCTTGGCCCCGGCTCCGCAGTAGCTCTGGCCGCTGACACCAACCCCGCGTCCCTTTGTGCTCTACTGAGAAGCTCGACTCTACTCACCCGGGCTGCGTGCGGATTCCGGCCGCCAGTGGCAGCCCGCTGCCCCATCCCACGAACACTGCGGCGCCCCCAGAGTGTGCAATGCGGAGCCCCGCCAGCGCGCGGCCGGAGCCGGAGAGTGAGGGGAGGGAGCCGGGGAGGCAGGAGGAAGGCGGGAGAGAAAACGCAGCGGGGAGGGTCGGGGGCGGTGAGGGGCGCTTGCGCCACTCCCACTCACGCCGGGCACTAGCGGCTGCAGCCGGCCAGCCCGGCCTCACAAGCCGCGGGACCAATCAGTGCGCGCGCAGGGGGAGCCAAGCCCTTTGCCGGGCACGCTCATTGGGTCGGCGCGCACGACCCAACTCCCCGAGTGTCCGCTGGACGCGGAGTCTGCAAACTCCCACCCGCAGGATTGGAGGTCCAGGCACCCCGGGGCACCAGCCTCTGCGCTCGGGCTGGCAGGGTGAGTGAGCACACTGGCGGGCAGAACCGGGAGGATTTGAGACTTGCCAGTGAAGCCTGTTCCCAGTGAGCATTCAAAACGCACGGTGTTTGCTCAGGTTGCAGCGATTCCTTCCTGCGAGCGACCCCCTGAGCCTCTCGCCTCACCCTGAAGATCAGCTTAGTGATGGAAAGGCCGGCAGTAGGAAACGGCCGCAGCCAAATCTTCCTCCCCGCCACTCCTGGGGCCGCGCGAAATCCATTGTACTTAATCGGAGCTGAAAAGCTAATCGAACTCTGCAACCAGGTCAGACCTAGACCACTGAACGTTTGCAACAGAGGATTTGGGCTGCAGAGCGAACGCTGAAGGGGGAAGAGGGTCTGAAAGGCAGGTCCTAGAAAGTGAGAATCCGGTTGCGGGTTTTGGTGGACATAATTTTCCCACCTTCTGGCATATCCTTTCCCCAAGTAAAAGCCCGTCTCCTCCTCCCAGCCTCTCATGAAGTTTTTTTTTTTTTCTCTCTCTCTCGTAAATCATTTTTGAGTCTCCTGTACTTTTCAATCCAAAGCCTCGGAGTAGAAGCCGAGGGCGGCCCTACCCTCCGTCCCTCTGAGCACCTCGGAGGGCTGGTGTGGGAGAGGGTGATAGAGAAGGTCCCCTGGAAGGTCTGGAAGAAGGATTGCGTGGGTCTACCTGGGAGCCTGGAGCTGACGACTAGGGACCGCCCCACCTCCGCCAGGTACCTGGGCCTGCACGGCTGCCTTCCCCAGGACAGCCCACCCCAGTGGCTACATTTATTCATCTTGGAGGTCCCTCGTTTCCACCTTTCTATTCTTTGAGCTTCTCTTCAATCAGGCCTCCTCTGAAACTCCACACACACACCCCCCCACCGCTCTTCCCCATAACATACTCATAAAAACATCTTTTTTTTTTAACTCCCTTCCCATTCCCTCTGTGTGGAAGGGCCTTGGATAATGTTTTTTGTTTGTTTGTTTTTTGGTTAGGAGCTTCTGGATCTCAGAAACTTTTTCTCGTATTCAATTTATGTTTAGAACCTTTGGACAGGGAGGTGGGCACTGCAATGCAGTCTCTGCGGGGCTAAATGAATTGAACACTAGTTAATCAAACCGAACCTGGAACTGCGGCAACTCCATGAGTGGCAAATCTGGTACTGATCAAGGCACATACTGGGTGCCATCGCTGCCACTTGCTTAGTTTCCAGGGAAGAAATGCCGTCTTCTAAACTTCCTGTCCATATATTTCACTTGATTTTGATTTTTTTTAATTAGCTCAGCTTATAGTTTAGTAAAAACTTATTTGGGTTCAAAATGAAGTTCAATATAGTACCGCAGTTCATGGGACTCAGTTCCTGGTGGAAACAGAATCCTTAGGATCTTTTTTAAAAAAATGTATTTTTAAAAAATGATAGAAAAAATATGCACTCAAAATGTCGGCAGGCAGGGGTTATCTCTGTGAGGTGGGATAATAGATGAATTTTTTCTTCTTTATACTTTACCATATTTTCTAAAGAGTATGCAACAATTATTATTCAGGGGAAAAGCTTTAAATATGTTTACTCCAAACATGCAACACTCTCCAGGCATCCATCAGAAGAGCTATAATATTAAATCCTCCTTCGACTTTACCCCTCCCGTTTTATCACTCACCAAGTCCTTGAATTCCTTCTCCTAGAGTAGCTTTCAGATCTCTCCGTCCTCAAAATGTATTGTTTCTGCCACGGCCTCATCATTTCTCACCCATATGGCAGCCACAGCCCTAATTGTTCTATCTGGTCAGCCGCAATGCTGCCATGTCTCCTTAAGGATGACAAAGGTGATTTTGTCACTTAAAAGCTAAAAATCTTTCAGTCCACCCTCCCCCACCCCCCGTCCAACTTTATTGCTATGAAGTTCAAACCTGGTACCTGGGGGGCAAGGCCCCTCCCTCCCAGCCTGGCCTCAGCCTCCTATGTTGGCCTTGTCTCCTGCCTTCACATTTCTCTACACAGGAGGGTCTTCCCCACTGCAAATTTTTATCCTTTGCACACATATTGTGTGACTCAAATCAAGTAAATGCTCAACAAAAAAATTTTAAATCCTCACCTGAAGATATTTTTATTGATTTGAGAGAGAGAAACATTGATGTGAGAGAGAAACATCAGTTGGTTCTCTCTCAGTCAAGATCGATCCCACAATTTAGGTACCTGCCCTGACCAGGAATTGAACCCTTAAACTTTTGGTGTACGGGACAACACTCCAACCAACTGAGCCACACCTGCCAGTGCACTCAATGAAATTTTAAAAATAAATAAATAGGGGAGTAAACGAATGTGTACATGAAATGCTCATAAGGTATTTTGTTTATTCATTGACATGCAACTGTTGTACAAAGTCTAAAAGACTTTAGTGCTATGTTTAAAAAATTAATATCATTAGGTCCTTATCATAACACTAATTTGACTCTTCTGGTGTAAATTATCTAATTTCTTGTTCAATGTCACATTCAGGAAATATAGGTAATGTCCTATTTGTGGATATTCTATCATTGCTAGGAGGAATTTATTGTTTAGTTATTTTTTAATTTTTATTTATTAATTTAGAGAGGAAGGGAAAGAAAAAGTGAAACAGAGATTGGTTTTTCCACTTACCCATTCATTCATTGGTTGGTTTCTGCACGTGCCCTGACCAGAGGTGGAGCTTGCAACCGTGGTGCACTGAGACCACGCTCTAACTTCCTGAGCTACTCAGCCAGGGCCAAATTTATTCTTTGCTAAATAAAGTTGATTTTTAATATATAAAAAACCAACTTTAAGACACAAAGCACACTCCATAAAAGAATACATAAAATGGACTTTATCACAACTGAAAATGTTTGCTCTGCCAACAACACTGTTGAATGAATGAGAAGACAAACGTAGATGAGGTGAAAATATTTGCAAATCATATATCTGACACAGGAGTGGTGACATTGCCAACATGTATATAAAATTCTCAAAACTCAACAATAAGAAAACAACCAAAATTTTTCAATGAGCAAAAGATTTGAACATTTTACCAAAGGAGATATAAAGATGGAGGGGGGAGCTCATTATCGTTAGTAATTAATGCTGATTAAACCACAATGACACTGTACTGTACACCAGTAGAACACCCAATGCTGGGAGAAGGCAGAGCAGCCAGAACTCTCACACATGGCTCATGGGAATGCAAAATGGATCAGGCACTCTAAATATAACTTTATAGTTTCTATAAAGTTCAATATACACTTAACCATATGACCCAAGAGTCCCATTCCTAGATACCTACTCAAGTAAAATCAAAGGCCCATGTTTACTCAAAAACCTGTTAAATACTTATAGCTCATTTATAGCTAAAATCTTGAAACAACCCCCAAATCCTTCTACTGGGGAGTAAATAAACAAACTGATTACATCCATAGTATGGAATGTTACTCAAAGATAAAAGGAACCAAGTGTTGATGCAAACATTACATATTTCAATGAGTTATGCTAAATGAAAGGAAACAGACTCAAAAGCTAAATATATGCACTAGTTTAAAACGTTAGAGTAGCAGCACTGGCTGGTGTGGCTGGTGGTGATTGAGTGCTGGCCTGTGAACCAAAGGGTTGCTGGTTCCACTCCCAGTCAGGGCACATGCCTGGGTTGTGGGCCAGGTCCCCAGTAGGGGGCATATGAAAGGCAACCATACACTGATGTTTCTCTCCCTCTCTTTCTCACTCCTTTCCCCCTCTCTAATTAAAAAAAAAAGTTAGAGTAGCAAGATAAAAGAACTTGAGGTTTTTCATGATGATGGACCTCAGTTTGAGGTCTGGATGGTCTATATTTACATGAGGCAATTATTTAAACCCTTGTTATTTCAAGTTTCCTGTCACATAGAGCTAAACCTCATTTTACCTAATATAATGAGTGCATGAATTAATCAATTAATGGAAATTCAATTAAATGTAGTCTTCACTAAAGAAGAAACTGTGACTATTTTACTCACTGACACATCATCAATGCCTCACACAGTGCAGTACACAGAGTGGGTACTCAATAAATAACAGTTAAATGCATAAACAGATAAAAATGAAGATAAAGTTGAGGTTTTATAGAAATGTAACAAAATTTTCCATTCAGATGAATGTTTTCCCTTTCAAAGTAGCTGCTTTGGCACATTACATTTTTCAATTCCAGTGATGCTGCTCCTACTTCAAAATATATTCTCTTTCCCCTTTTGCTTATTAAAATATTGCCTTTTCTTTAAGTAGTATTGTTTCCCTTAAATAAATTATTCACTTTCTTTCTTTCTCTTGATGAGCAAACAGTAAATTTAATGTCTTAAAATTTTACTCATTTTTCAATATCTCAAGTAGTATCTAATTCATCTTCTTTTCTTCTACCACAAATATCAGAAGTTTATATAACAGGCACACAGTAAAAATAAAAATGCAGATTTTATGGAAAGCTTAAGAGATTTTGGCTCAAAAAACCATCATATTTCCAGATGTATCACTAAAAGTAATTTTCATTTATTGGACACTGATGGTTGACATTAAGCTCTTGAAATATCATTAAAATATTTCTGCTCTAACCACTTTGCACAGTCAAGCGACTTTTAAAAAATCATTTACAGCTAAGCTGCTGTGATGGAATTTATTATAGAAACTCAATTTTTTCTCCACCAGTTTCTCTGCTAGGAAACAGTAATCCCGACTTCCAGTTAAGATGGAGGCATAGGTAGACATGCTTC